GGTATTTTATTTTATAACAATTTTTTCAACTATATCTGCTTTTTTTCTTTTTAAACACTCAGCATTCATTACCTCATCGCTTCAAAATTAGAAGTTGAAAGAGACAAATGTTTTAAAATGTGGGATTATAATTCCCTTGCTCATGTTAGATATGTGCTTTGCTTTGCAGGTATTTCAACTGAGATGAGTAAAACTATCACAAAATCAAATGCCCATCCAGTGTGGATAATGGTCTCAGAATTTGGGTATCAAAGGACAACCTGTAGGAATTAATCAGTTTGACAAATACTTTTTCCTTATTTTGAGACCTGGGGTGGCAGCTGTGTGGTGAGACTGGATGACATAGTGAGGCTGGGGATATATGTCTCCACTAAATGTATTTGTCTGAGCAGAGAATGAGTTGTTTAATCCAGGAATAAAGGCACATTGAACAATGTGTAACCTACAAACTAGGCTGGAGGCAAAGCATTTATAAAAAGTCTTTCTTCTGGAAAGGAACCTCATCGGTTTAATAATTTTATTAGTTCTGTCAAGGTTTGTCGTTTCTCTTTGTTTTGCTGTACCTTGGCTACTAGGTTGTGGATGTCATTGCAGTAGTCTGCAGAGTTGCAGGTTATAAAAAACAGTTTCTGAAGGAGGTCATATATATTATGATCCCATTTGACGTGTTTGTGTGAGGGGATGAAGTCACAGATGTGATAGGTCTTTTCCATTCTTGCAGCTTGCCTACGCAGCAGCGTACATGCCTCAGAGGCTGCAAAACTTCCTTCTCGCTCCTCAGCATAGAGTCAGGTGAACCAAAGCCTGGGGTTTACTGCTGACAACAGTGTTTAATGCATCTGTAGAGTTTACACTCATACTTGTCTTGCTCTTGTCCTCTCGCCATCATTTTCTCAACATAGAGCAGCACCTACAACTGTGCAAAGCTGTAGAGCAGGACAGCTGAGAGACATCCTGTGTTTTAGGATAGCACACCAAACAGTAAAGAACTGCAGACTGTAGTTAATGGCAGACTTGGCAGCTACAACATGACTTCCTGAAGGCATTGACATAATTCTGCTCCTTGGTATTTCCCTGCTGGTGATGCCTTTATGTGTGGTGGCACTCTTGCTTGCTTCTCAGACTGGTTGTAGTACACTTCCCGTACCTGATTGTAGTACACTTCTGGACTAACAGCTTGTGTCTTGTGTTGGTTTGCCCTTCTGAAAATAGCAAGGTTGGTTTTGTAGCCACATGATATACAGAGGAGCTGCTTTTTTTTGGTGCTGTTTCTAACTGTACTGTTTTGTGGCAGTGGCTACACATATCATTTATATACCCGTTAGCAATAATATTTCAGAAAAATGCTTTGTTGCTTGTTATATGAGAAATTATACGTCTATACAGAGTCTTGTAAAGTAATGATTGCAATTTTGCTAGGTGTTGTCACTAGAAATTGGAGACTCGGTAAATACTTTTTGTATACTTTTCTAGCAATATGTATGACAAATAACACAGCAATTACAGGACATTACAGTATGCATCCTGTGACAGTTTGTTGCACTTCAGAGCACTGCCAGGAGATGCAGAAGTGTATTGGCAGCAGCAGCAGCAGTAACACAGAATGGGTGAATCTGGTATCTTGTATTTATCTAGCGCCTTTCATCAGTGATGCTTTTGACAGACAGATAGACTGTCAATGCAACAGTAGTACACCTGTTTCTACGCAACACTTTGCCTAATGGTGAAACAGAGAGAAATTCTCACCAAGGCCCACCACTGTCTACCATAATGTCTTTCTGCAGAGCTGCACCCCAGCCTGGGTTGTTGCAGGGGATTGTTCCTCCCCAGGTGCGGGGCTTTGCATTTGTCCTTGCTGATTTTCACACCACTCCTGTCAGCCCATTCCTCCAGCCTTTCTAAGTTCCGCCTGAAAGGCAACCTGTCTTTGAGCAATTGGCTGGTCCCCCAATGTCATGTTATCTGCAAACTTGACAAGAGGGTGACAAACTTGACTCACCTCCTCCAGGTTATTGGTAAAGACATGTCCCAGGTTAGACCTCTGTGGTACCTGTTACCAGCCTCCAGGTGAGCTACCCAGTGAGCCTGCTTATCCAACCGGGAATTTATCCATCTGGTTTCCCACCCAGCCAGACCTAATGACCTAATTTGGATACAAGAATATTGTGGGAGACAGTATTGAAAGCCTTGCTAAAGTTAAGGTCAACTACATTCATTTCTCTGGTCTTGTCACAAACCAAGTCATTTCAGTGTAGAAGGCAACCAGATTGGTCAGGCATGACTTACCTTTGGCAAATCAATGTTATCTGTTCCCAGTTGGTAGCTTGTCCTTCATGTGCTCAGAAATGTGCTCTGAGATGTTTCACTCCATGATGTTGGATGACCAGCCTTAATTCCAAGAATCGTCTTTTTTAACTTTTTTGAATATAGTCTGGACATTTCCTTTCTCCACTGGTCAGGGATCTCCTCCAACCTCCTTCATTTTTCAAAAATTAAAGCAAGCAGCCTTACAAGGACATTGGCTAGCTCTCTCAGCACACTTTGATGCAGCCTGCCAGGTTCCATGGACTTCTATGGGTCTAGTGCTCTCAATCAATCCCTGCCTTTCTGGTTGGGATTTACCTGACCACCTACTGCTGGTTGTTCATTGCCCCCTTGAGCCTCTAGTCACAGAGACCTGGGAGACCTTGTTAGGGAAGAATGAGGCCAGAAGACACCGAACACCTCAGCCTTAGCTGTATCTGCTGTCCCCCTCAACAGGTCCACACTTTCCTTGTCCAGCCTTTTAGTTCTGCAAAAGCTGTTCTTGTTACCTCTGAAGTCCCTCGAGAACATCCACCCTAGCTGAGTGTTGGCTTTCCTAATGCTATCCAGAGTTGCCAGGAAATGTTTCTAAATTCCTTCTTTGTAGCCTGTCCATACTTCCACCTTCTGTATATTGTTTGATGAGATGAAGGCCTTTTGAAAGTCTTGGGGTTTTTTCAAAGTGTAATAGATGATTGAATTGCTTTCCCTGGAGAAACCCACTTGGTGGCTATGCCTGACCTTCAGGACTGATCTTTAAAATTGTATCAGTCCTTATTTCAGTTTATTTATTAAACCTAAGAATAACATTTTAGTTGCTTACTTTTGTAATTCCCCTGATTACCACTAGAGCCTTTTAAAAATAAATGTTTCCCTTTCACACACTGGCTGTAATGAGGTTTCACATTTTTGCTAACAGCTCAGTCATTTCATATTTAATCTTTCAGAACTCACGGGTGTTTATCTGGACTTGATAGTTTTGTTTTTTTTTTTACTTTTCCATTACAAATTAGCCACAGTATTTATTCTCCTGATACCTTAGTCTACTAGTCTTATGTTCTTCTTCCTAGAAAAGGGCATGTCTCAGTTAGTCCTCTCATAGAAGACCAATATACTTAGTTTCAGGAAAAACTTCATCTAGCCTCTCACCTTTGATGAACCCATATGTGTACTGATTCTTTGCAGGTTCCCTGCTGCTTATGTTCTTGAAGAAGAATGCCATCTCATTGGAGAAAGAGGAGAGGATTGTGGGGGTTTTAATACCATTAGTTATTTAGTCTTCAAAATTAAATTTCTCTCTTCCTTATATTTGCTATATATTATCTGCTTAGAGTTTAGCACTTGTTTTTCTAAGCCCATATATCTGAATTTCAAAGGATTTCTTTTTGACTCAACTAACCTCTAAACCCTTGCCATTGAGCTCTATTGATTTTTTCTTTTCCTGCTTTCTGTTGTGTTCAGAGGCATACATATCCTTTGAGATCCGATTACTGTTTTCTTCGGTGCCATCCCTGGAACACCCAAGAATTCCTTTTTTTTTCCCCCCTGTAGAGCCATTTTCACTTGCCTCTATATTTACATGTTTCAGAAACACATCTTGGAATTTGATGAGTTTCCTACATTTGTGTTTGTATTTTCTGTGGCTGTGATGAGCTTTTACAATTTGCTATTGCCTACTTTAAGACAGCACTCAGACCCTTGATTTGTCCTTAGACGTCATCTGCTAGATTTGTGTGGTTTATACAAAGTTAATTTGTGCCAGGAAAGCTGTAATGGGTTTTATGCACCAGACATATTGCAGTAGTTATTTTGAAACTTTAATGAATGCCATTAAAGAAACAAAGGTATGGGAGAGCAATTCTATAGGACAGGAAAATAAAGGCCAAGGGGTAAGGAGACTTTAAAGCGTTCTGATATACCTTTTTAAGTCCAAAGCAAGGTTGACAAAACCATATTTGGGATGCTTAGGCACTTCTAAACTGGTTAATTTTTCTTGCTTACAGGGAATGGATAAGACTAGATAATGTGTAAAGTAGAGCAAATTTATTGGACTAAATGACACAGACCGTGATGAAAAGGCAGCTCATGAAATCACAACAGAAATCTTCCTATTGCTGAAAATCATGTAGGATGTGACCTGCTTTGTGTGATGAGTGCACAGTTCAGCACAGAAATATCACTAAAAAGCTGCTCTTCACTGGGTAACCGAGTAGCACATAGAAGTACTCAGCCCAGGTGCTTTGGGCTAGACACAGTGAGTTCTGGTGCTGACACTCCGTCTCCCCAGCAGCGGGCTGTGTGGTGGCACCATGCTGTTGTAGGCAGTTACTTCTGTTGAACTTCCTGTGTATGGCTGGAGGAACTGCAATGCTCCCTTCCCTTCTTTGCCTCTGCTCAAAGGAGCACTTGTTATTTGACAGGATCCTCTTAATCCTTCCGTTGGTCTCTTTTCATCCATTTTCATTTTTTCCATCCCTTCCTTTCACATCATATTCCTCCTTGTGTCTTAAACCATAAAAACAATTTTTCAGTCCCACTTTGTCTTTTTTTTTAAAAAAAAAAAAAAAAAAAAAAAACAAAAGAAACTGGCTTGACAGCTGTCTTCCTGTGTGTTGCCCTTTGCTTGCCTGCAGCTCCTTCCTCTTGAAAATGTGGCTTCAAGTCTCCTGTGTCTCTTTTCTTCACCAACAATTAAGGTCTCTCCAGGATCTCTCAAGGCAGACGGATATTCCTTATGGCACTGTCTTGGATTCTGCAGTCTATGAGCACGTCCGAGTGAAAGGCATGAATCCTTTTGAGAGGGACAGCATGTATTCCCAAATGTGGCGGATGATTAACAGAAGTAACGGCTCAGAGAACAACGTTATGGAGTCGACCGCAGGCATTCAAAAGGTACTGGTGTGACTTACTTTTTGCTTTCCATTGGAGATGCTCTGCTGTAACACCACATTTGCTTAGTTATTGCTTTTAAGTATAAGGGATGCATCTGCACCCAGATAGTGATCATGCCTGGTACCAATTTCCGCAAGCCCCTTGCACCGTCATGGAGGATTGGGACTTCTCAGCTATGTAGCTTGTTTTCAACCACATTCTAAAATGTAAGTACCTAGACTGCTTGCTCTGAAAAGGATTTATAGGTATGAGAGATGAATGCATTTGTCAGGATGCAAAACTGGAATAGGATCACTGGATTTATAACCCCAGTAGATGTGTCAGTGTACTGTGCAAAGCTTAAAGCACTTTGAATACAAGACATTGATTAACGTATTTTTGTACACTGCTGACACTGAAAACCTTGGCTTTCAGTTGTAGCTCTGAATCACATGATTCAGGCAGAAAAAGATGGTCTGGCTTTAAATAAGAGTCTCACAGCCACCTTCTGTAGTGAGTTTAGCAGTGGGAAAATACTTTGAGAGCAGGATTCAATTTTTGTAGTCGTCAATTTTTGTGGGTAGTTCCCTCCCATGTTTTTGGTTGACAGCTACAGCTTTTATAAGAACAGTAGTACATGAAAGGGTTCAGTACAAGAGTGAATATGGGTTAATGAATGACTATATAGAAACTTTATCCCTACCATTGTAACTTCACATTCAGAGTTTTAAATCAAATGTGAGAAATATTATATTTTATGGATTTTATTTTAAACTTCAAAACTGTGAATATTAATTAGAGCAAATATCCATGAAGTTGTGTGTTCACTTGTTTTCAACTTGGTTTAGGGACTTTTTAAAAATACAGAGAAACTCTGCCTTTTGTCTCCACCAACATCCATTTGCCAGGAAAACCTGGTGTTTTTACACTGGATACAAACATGTAAGAGAAAAGAGTATGTTAAAAAGAATGATTAAATCACTGGTGATCTCTTGATAATAAAAGAACCACAAAATAACAAAGATTCACTGGAGTTTTAAAAATCACTAATCCACGCTCTGTATAACTGAGATCATATTTTCTTCTCTGAAGGACTAAACAGCCTGAAAGAAGAGGCAAAAGAGGCCCTGGGGAACTGCACTTTTGAAACCCCTTTAGAAAAACTCATAAGCTGAAAAGGCAAGAAAAAAAAGACAGTCTGAAGATTTATTGGCTAGAGGAAATTGCTTTATTTGAGAAAACATATTTTAGCTCAGTTTGTAAGGGGCTGATAAAGCTCGGTTTTGGATTTTGTATAAAAAACCTGCCCTCCTTCTGGTTTGCTTTCCCAGGTTATACTAAAGGTTTCAGAAGAATCAAAAACCAGAGCACGTCAAACACAGCTGTGTTGACTAATGGCTTTTAGCTAAAAAAAACCCACCAGTGTATCATGTTGGCAGGTAATTCCAGATTACAGTCTTTGATTTCTCATTCCTGGAAACATGGCAGTTGCTGTCTTAAAACCTACAAACCCAGAAATATCTGGGTTCTTTAATTTCCCATGCCTCTGCTTCCCAGGAACAAGCACTTGCAAATTATAGTGTTGAAAAACCAAGTCGCGGCATGTGAGCAAGCCAACCACCCTCCAATTTTAAAATATCAAAGGGCTCGGGCCCAATTCTAATGAACATACACATCCACCTACGTGTGTGCAGTTTCTCCCCTTCTTTCACCTTACAGGAAGAAATGGTACAGAAAAAGATTATTTGCCAGTTGCTGTTCACACAGAAACTTTTGGGAGATTGTATTTGGCCTGCTCAGGAAAAAAGCTGGATGAAGAATGTGATGTTAAAAGCTAGTCTTAGGCAAGGAAAATTAATATTTAAAAAGGTAACTGATAAAAAACAGAGATTATAATCTCTGTAAAGTACTTCAAAAAAACCGAAAACATTTCAGAGGAAAGAATTCATGGGCCTATTTATATACTTTGTAATGTTCTTCAGGGTCTTGAACAAATTTAACTGGCCATATCAGAGCTATTAACTCAGCCAGATTATAGCTCTGGACAAGCTAAGCCAACAGGTCTCCCTCTGTGCTTCATTTTCTTTCTACCATTAATCAGCGCTAAAGCATGACTGAATAGCAGTTTGTCCAAGCTCTCCGAGGCCATTACCTTGGCACATGTTCCTGGAGTGCCAAGTGAGGGCTGAGACTTAATGAGTGCTTCCAAATGGGTACTGGGAGAGGGATTTCCACTAGGCTGCCTAATGACCATGAAGGGACTGTGATAGGAGGGACCACCATGGGACAGAGGTGTGCAGGAAGGATGTTATGGATGCAGTGGACATGCTCTTCTTGAGCAACGCTCCCTGCTGCACCCTCTCCGAGGTTAAACGGAAGTAGCCATCACAGAAGAGGCTTTGTCAAACTTTTTTGTTATGTCTTAAAAGTCCTTAGTTTTGTCTTGCTTTTATTCTGCAAATTACAGTGGAGCTGGCACTCTTTTTATTTTGAGGAAAGTAGCAGTTAAATACTAATCTATATATAAACAGAGGGAAGGGGAGAGGGGGATCAACGGCTGATTTACTCATCGCATCATCCCGCTTGCTCAGCAGGACTGCGTGCTTGTTGTACCGGTGACTTCATGGGGAACGGCACCTGTGTGAGTGAAAATACAATACATCCAAATGACAGTGATTGCACAGTCCCATTTTGCATCAGGCAATCTACCGTTTTGACCTGCTTTTCCTGGCAGGAGGGCAGGGCAGGCAACAGAAATAAGATTGGAAGCTCATGCCATTGTAAGTTTTCAGGTTTTGATATTTATTGATTCTGTTCTTCTCATAAATGAGGTCCATACATATCCCTCTGTGTGCTCCTATTCCATCCATAGTGAACAGCTATATACACCATCAGGTTTGGTTAGAGAGCAGCTGGGTAGATTTAGCCTGAAGAGAGAGCAGAGTTTTAAATACCTCCAGCAGGAGACAGCCTGAAAAGCACAGGCACTTTAGATATTTTCCGCCACTTATTGTCTCTTCCTTTCTCAAAAGGCAACAAAAAGCAGTTGAAGATCTGAATTGAAAGTAGGGAAGCACTCAGCTGTTTGTCTTCCCGCTCTGTCAAATCAAAGTGGATGGAGGGGTAGCTGTATTCCTATATATGCTTGGGTTATTCTGGAGAATATTCACTTTTATCTTCTTTTTTTCTTTATTATTCCTAAGTGTTTTGTGTATCTCAAATTGATTTTCCTTTTTTTGCATAGGTTATGAAATATGCATCTCATTCTGTCAAAGGAATCTCTATTTTCGCAGTTATTTATTCGGAGAGGATTTACAGAGGCCTAAGTCATGCCTGCTTAAACATTCATTGAGGACTCCAAGAAAAATCATTTAGGCTTAAACATATCACATTACATACATCTTTATGTCTTCTTAAAAAGCACATTACCCTGCTTAATCCTTTACAAGCACCACAGGCTTTCCTATCCTTGGAACTATTCCCATTTAAAATATAATGAAGCACTTCCATTGTGCCCCTGTCTGCTCATTCTTCCCTAGAGTATAATAGTGCCTAATGCCCTATCCTACCCACCTTGTTCCTCTGAACGTGATACCATAGCCTACAGCATCTACATTTTTCTCAGCAGTACAAAGTGGAAAATTCCTTTCCCAGGCTGCATAGGCAGAATCCAAATGTGTTTGTAACCTCTGTCTATTTAACTCTATCTGCAAAATATTTAGCCAGTAGGAAACTTGTGAATGACTGTCAGGTGAAATAATGTTTCTGGATGGTGCATTAAACAAAACTCCTCTTAGGCTCTCATATTTCCTCTTCAACTTGTACACAGTATCAAAAGGAATTTGGTCTTGAGATTTTTATTTTCTTGTGATTCTACTTGCATTGCCAGTGGAAACATGCTAGCAACTGCAGAACCCTTTTGTTTTCCCTGGACACTGTGGACAGCACTTTTGCCTTTCTATGAATACTGGATAATGTTTAAGTAATTATATTGTTTAAACTACCTATGAATAGGCCATAACAAAACTTTGCTTAGGTGATTTTTCTGGGGAAGAAAGGGGTAATAATGATTTGAGATTCTGTGTTAGAACAAATTGTTAATAACTGGACATGGTTATTCTTAATTTGTTTTCAGCAGTAGCAACAGCATGAAGGTTTCCATTGATGGGCAAAAAAACTCCTGAATTAACTAATTATCCTGATTTACTCACGAATTTGCCATTGGAATTGCTGTTCTGGTGGCAGATACACTGATCACACCACAAAAAGATGTAGTTAATATAGGCAAGTCCATGCATCTTTGTTCTGGACATTTCTGACCATGGAGTTGGACAATAAAAAGACACTGAAAACAAGAGATAACTAAGACAGACTTTTTGGATATTGGATCTGTACTGTGATTCAGCAGTTTGACAGTGGCTAAGGAAGGAATGGGAAGCAAAAAAGGCAAGAGCATATAAAAATGCTGGGACTGTACTCCAGTCCCCCGTATATTTTAATTCACTACAAGGGGATCAGCTACACTATGCAGCTGTTGGTTAGCAAACTAATTATCAACCCAGACACTGGTTCCCTGGTTCCCCTCTGCCTCCAGAGGTGATGCTGCTTGGGCAAATGAGATGTTCTGTTGCTGCTCTACAAGTAAGAAGGTTCAGGAGTACCCTTAAGGCCTTGATGTGTTCAGCCCCACAGCTGAAGGTGCAATTTATCTATTTTGCAATTACCCTCTCCTGCACAGTCCATGACTTGGAGCTGACAGGTGCCTGGAGGTACCAAATGCACCTGCTGTCCTCACTTTGTATTATCATGGGTGGTCTGGCTCTGTCTTATTTGTCATATAGCCGTCCTTTTCCTGGAAAGCAAGTCTCAACATAGAACCTGAGCCAGATTTACCAGTGAAGTGCTGTTAATAATGACAGGAGGAATGCCTGATCCACTGACACTAGCATGTTTAATGTCTCATAGCTTGTCAACATGTCAGTTTATGGAGGTGCGGAAGTGGGGTATATTTCATCACAAAG